TAACAAACCAGCCTCACTGCTGTTGAATTGATTTCAGCTCAGAGAAACTTTACATGACCACCATAGACAGATTACCCACAGGGTCTCCAGGACTGAAGTCCTTACAGAAATAGCTGTTAGCTCTCCTCAGCTCTTCTTCAGGCGTTGGCGTGAGTTTATCGGTATAGAGGAACTTGCACTGCTAACTCTTTATGTTTGTTGATCTTGTTCTTTCTGTATTTGGTCCCAACCCTTTTCTCTGCCATCTTTGATTTTAAGTAGAGAATGTATGTGATTCCATTTCTTAGCCGCCGGTTGTTGTACTCACATGAGTGTTTTATAATTTTGTAAACCTTGTCCTCTCCAAGGGCGTTAGTCACCATGCCCACCACACACCTTGGTTGAATGCATTGTATGTGGAAATATACTACTTTGTAAAATTTTTTAAAATGATGGCCCTGGAATTTTTGATACACGTTTGCAGCTAATTGGAGTGTTTAATAAAAGAATAAAGAGACCTGGTGGCACAGTGGATAAGTGCTTGACTACAATGCAAAGAAATGGGCCATTTTAATATATTAGCCACTCTACAGGAGAAAAGTTAGGCCATTTCTGAAAAGACTACAATCTCAGAAATCACCATTGATTTGTGACTTCTGTTACCCTGTCTTTTCAGGTCCCCATTGGATCTTTCCTAATTCCTTCACCATCTTCCCCTCCTCTCACCATACTCTTGTTATCCTAATGATTTCTTCCTCACTCTTCCTCACTCTTCCTCACCTTTTTTCCTCCTTCCCCCACCCCTTTCTCCTGCAGATTTCTGCCCACATCTTATATTATCCTTCTATTTTTACAATAATGGTCTTATACAGTATTTGTCCTTTTTGAGAGTGAGTTAGTCCACTCAGCATAATGCTCTCCAGACTTTCCCATTTGATATAGTATTTTACAAAATCATTGTTCCTTGGTGCTGCACAGTATTCTTATTTGAATGCCTTGTAATTTCTCACCATTCATTTGTTGATGGACATTTGGGCTGTTTTCATCTTTTTGCTATTGTGGATAACACTCCTATGAACATAGGTGTACAAATCTCCATTTGTGTCTCAATTTTTCTATTTTCCTTGGGATATAGTCCCAGCAGTGCAAGAGTTGGGTCATATAGGATTTCTATGTTCAATTGTTTGAGGAAATGCCAAACTGCCTTCTGGAGTATTGGTGGTGGTTATTGTTGCTGTGTGCTGTTGAGTCACCTGCAACTCATAGCAACCCTGTGTACAACAGTCCTAAAAATTTGCTCTATCTCTTGCCAATCTTATTGTCTCTGACACATGCCTATCCCCATGACTTCAGTGACTGAATCAGTCCATCTCATCAAGGGTCTTCCTCTCCTGTGCTGTCTCACCACTCTGCCAAGTCTGACATCCCTCTCCAAGGACTGATCCCAGCTTGAAACATGTCCAAAGTATGTCAGACAAAGCATCAAAATCCTTGCCTCCAAGGAGCAGCCTGGCTTCACCCTCTCCAGGATGAATTTATTTGTTCTCCTAGCAGTCTGTGGTATACTCACTTCTTTTCTCCTGCACCACAGCTCGAAGGCATCAACACTCCTCCTATCATCCCTAGTCCATTGTCCAGCTCTCTGATGCATAGCAAGTAATTGCAAAGACCATGGCCTGTATCAGGCAAACCTTCGTCTCCAGACTGACATCGTTGCTCTTCAGTACTTTGGGGAGGTCTCTGACAGCATACTTTCCCAATGCAGTTTGTCTTTTAATTTCCTGGCTGCTAGTACCAAGAATATTGTTTATAGAACCAAGCAAACTGAAGCTGTCAACAATTTCAATCTCTTCATCATCTATTATGATGCTGCCAATCATCCTAGTGGTGAGAATCTTTGTTTTCTTTATGTTGAGCTTCAATCCATATTGAAGGCTGCAGTCATTGACCTTTTGCAGCAAGCTCTTCAGGTCCTCCTCAGTGTCAGCAAGCAGGATTGTGTCATCTGCATAATGCAGATTGTTGATGAATCTACCTCCAATCCTGATGCCACACTTCTCATAGAGCTCAGCCTTCTGGATAATCTGTTCCGCATATAGATTGAAAAGATATGGAGATAGGACACATCTTTGACACACACCCTTCCCAATTTTGAACAATAGTGTTTCTTTTCTCTGTTCTCATTACTGCTTCCTGGTCCAAGTATAGGTTTTGCATAAGCACAATCAAGTGTTCTGGGATTCCCATTCTTCTCAGAGTCAGCCACAGTTTGTTGTGACCCACACAGTCAAAGCCTTTACATAGCCAATGAAACACAAATAGATATTCCTCTGGTATTCTCTGTTTTCAACCAAGATCCATCTGACATTAGCTCTTATATCCTTAGTACCACGGCCTCTTCAAAATCCAGACTTGACTTCAGGCAGTTCTCTGTTGATGTACTGTTCCAGTTGTTTTTGGATAATCTTCAGCAGAATCTTGCTTGCATGTGATATCAATGATACTTTTTTACAATACTTTTTTTGTTTGATAATTTCCACACTCTGTTGGATCACCTTTCTTTGGAATGGGAACAAATATAGATCTCTTTCAGTCAGTTGTCCTCCAGATTTCTTGGCAAAGAGTGGTTGTACCATTTTACAATCCCAATACAGTATGAGAGTTCCAATCTCTCCACATCCTTTCCAACATTTATTGCTTACTGTTCTGTTAAACTTTCCCACAGTTACTGGGGTGAGAGATGGTATCTCACTGTGGTTTTGATTTGTATTTCTCTTATTGCCAGTGATGTTGAGCATTTCTTCATGTGTGTGTTAGCCATCTGAATGTCTTCTTTTGTGAAAAGTCTTACGATGTCTTTCGCCCATTTTGTAACTCTGTTATCAGTCTTTTATTTTTTGGAGACCCTGTAGGATTCTGTAAAACTTTCATTATGAGATCCTTGTCTGAGATGGCATTGCCAACTTTTTTTTTTCCCCCGTAGATTTTCTTTTCACCCTATTGGGAAAAGTTTTTGAAGGACACAGGGACTTAGTTCTTAGATGGTCCCATTTGTCAGTTTTGCCCTCTCTTGGTTGTGCATCCTCCTATCCCTTTTATCTCATTTGTTTCACTGACCTCTAACCTGTTATCATCCAATATATTATTGCTGCCATTACTTCAAACAGATTGCTATCTGTTAGAGCAAGTCAGAATAATAAAAAATATTTTATATTACCTTTAAGTATACCTTCTCTAATACTCTTTCAGGTAGATCTGAGTTCCTGACCTTTATAAACTTTCTTCTCTCTGAAGAACTTTCTTGACCATTTCTTGCAAGGCAAGTCTACAAATGCCCTCAACTTTTGTTTATCTGATATAGTTTTTATCTCTTTCACTTTTGAAGGATTATTTTATTAGCTACTTAATTCTAGGTTGGGTTTTTTTTTCCTTCCTGCACTTAAAGTATTTATCCTTTGGTATTTTGGT